AAGATTTAGAATATTTCGCATTTGTACATTGTATTTATTCATGTATGTGGCATGCTACGGCTATTTTAGCCCATTAGGCTGCAATATGTGCCCAAGCAGGGGCAAGCATGGTATTTTACTCAGCATAATGCCAGAGGATTCTACTTGTCAAGGGAAGAGTCTTGTGCACTTACATTGTAGGTGAAATGATACAATTCCCCCACCCCCAGCGAAAAATAATCCTAGATTGTTTGTCAGAATCAACGATTGTGTATAATGTGCAGAAGTCGGACAGAAGAAAGAAGGCTATTCTATACTTCATAATTTATTGTTTTACTCTGTGTAATGCCGTACAACTTTGCAGGAGGCATGCATGTTTGTTAATATAGTGGTTTTAGTGCAAATATACAACTTTGACAATGAATACAATTTTGATAACCACTGTTTTACTTTCCTAGACTTGAGGTTGTACCAAATTCAGATTGCTTGTGAACTGATTAAGTTTGAGGTAAGTATGTATGGCATACTTGCATGCAAGTTTGAGCTTTTGGTGTTTAGGGTACAAGTTTTGGTTATAAATTATTCTGGCTTGCTGGTCAGTGCAAACCACATTTCTTGAACATGTTGCTGCCTGAATTTAATATTTAATATTTTGGTCAATTCATTGCAGTCCATTGCTCCATTCCACTAGTTAGATTCTGTTAGTGGTAACACATCTACGCTAGTCTAGTGCAGATTACCTTGAGTCTTACGCCAAGGGAGGTCCTTCACACCATAATCGTAGTGTAACTCCTCACCACAGGTTATGTCTTTTTTAGCATAAATTGCTAAGTGTGGTTTGCCGTGCTGTATTTTTTTTATTTTGCAATTTGCCATCTTTTCCTCTGCATCATTAACAAGCCTTCCAAGGCCTGTTGCAAATGTTGCATCAACACTATATACAATTAAATAAATAATCTTTGAAGTTTAATGAATACTTTCCCACATTTTGCCATGGTGTTTTTATTAATCCCACTTCCTGACCAATATTTTTCTTAAAATCCCAAGTTTGTCCCAATTGAATATTAAGACCGCAGGGTACGAATTAACGGCTTGCACTTCGCAATTTGCGAAGCATCTGTACATTTTTGCGAAGCGAAATTGCTTGGCAAACGGGAAAATGCAAAGTGAAAATTTTGAAAATATGTTGCATAAACATGATAACGAACATGAATACGAGAGAGCCGAATGCGCTGTTTTTGCTTTTAATTTGTTTGTCTGCAGTTTATATTGTTTTGACGAGGCTTTGATTTTTGTTTTGTAGTCAGGTTGCAGTCATACGATCCCAATTTATGCTGTAATCAATCACGGTTAATATTAAGGGTGGCTAAATACTACAAACCGGATGTTTACTTTATGCCTAAAAGTAAAATGTTGCAGTTTGTCAAAATGCCAGTAATTGGCACACGTTTCTTTATTTTTGTCACATGGCTAGTCTTACGACACATATATTTCGGCCTTTCGGTCTTATTAATTCAATTGTTTCCTATTGTAAGTAATATTTAAATCAGTTTAGATTTTACTTAGACTTCCTTGGGTACGCACATATATGAGAAACGTTTACATAAAGATTAAACAGGTTTTTTTATGAACATCGGTAGCCTTGTTACTAGTAATTAATTGTGAAAATTATTTGTGAACACACAAATTAAGTATTGTTTGTTGCTTAATTTATAACTAACATTTTTAACACAATGACCTGTCTTGCTCGAACTCGTTCGAGACAATGAATTTTGTTGTACTCTGCAATGTCAGAATAATATGTAACTATGAATTTTTTCTGTGTTGGTGTTGTGTACTCAGGTGAATAATATGTTTGCGATGTTACTCTGAGTGCATATCCACACCGGGTGAGCTTGAAAAATTTGCCCAGCCACGGTGGGATTCGAACCTACGACCTTTGGAACACTAGCCCAATGCTCTTCCAACTGAGCTACGCGGCCAGGACGGTTCGAGTAAGTGATATTTCGGAACAGTATCTAGTTCCTTCAATACCAATGTGTTCTAGTAATATGAATTTTTTCTGTGTTGGTGTTGTGTAGTCAGGTGAATAATGAGGTCGTAGGTTCGAATCCCACCGTGGCCGGGCAAATTTTTCAAGCTCGCCCGGTGTGGATATGCACTCAGAGTAACATCGCAAACATAATATGTAACTAGTTTTTCATACGGTATTTCTGAGGATGGTTTTGAAATAGGCAGTATTTATTTACCAAAATTTTTGCGAAGCTGTTTTGACACCTTAATTCGTACCCTGATTGTTCCCTTTACAATGTCATGATAGCAGCAATTTTGCATGATTTACACTTTCCTGCACACATCATTTCGATTGGGGTAAACCACAGGATTATGCAGATGTTAAATCTTGCGGGAAATTAATTTGAATTACGAAATGCGTAATAGGACAAAGTATAACTGGTTTCCTATGATGTATGCACGTATTAAAACAGCATATTAGGAACACATGTAAATGAAGTGTGCCATTCCTATTTGAAAAGGAACAGCAATTCAAACGGAACAAGTTGTTCCTAGTTGACCTTAATTGTTCTGCTTCACTTATGTTCCGAAAATCGGAACGGTTTAAATGAGGAACAATATTAATTGTTGTTCCTTATTTAGGAACAAAATGTTCCGCGCAGCGAATCCTTAAACCAATAGCTTTTGAAGTGGAACTACAGGGTGTATATGCACTCCATCAATATTTCACGCACCACGGTTCAGCATATTTGCAATTGAAAAGGCATTCAAATTTTAACAATATGCTTGATTTCTAAAGGTCTCTTTTTTTATACACCCTGTATATTTGTTACGCAGATGCTGTTCCTTTGTGTTGTGCCCCTTTATTGTTCCCTCTTCTTGTTCCCTTTTATTGTTCCGTTCTTAACGAAGCGTATTAATTTAATTAACAATAAATTTTACACAATGCAATGCCATGGGCCATTATAAGCAAATATTATTAATGCATTGTGCACACAAAATATTTACTATAAAGACCAAGCTAATTTTACTCGTGTAGCATTTGCTCGTTTTACATGTTTGCACGTAGAAAAGCTCAAATAGACTGGAAGTCTGTAGATGGCGTGTTTACAAAGCCAAGGCAATTGCATTTGGCTAAAGGCACAGATGGGTTAGACCATTGCCCAGTAAAAGGATGTGAACATTCAGCATTTCAAAGTCGAAGAGGTTGTCGTAAACATGTTAAAACAAAGCATGGTTGGTATTACTATTCTGATAAAAAGCCCAATGTGTGCCTTTCGCCGTTTGCAAGCACAGAAACGGAGCAAAAAGGGTGTAAAACAGTTCCTGGCTGTTCTACAGATAATGACTTTGCTCACTCGTTTTCCAAGTGGCTTCAAAGCACCTGCGGTGGCAGCATATTTCTGAAACAATTGGACATTTCAGTTAGCAGAGCATTAAAGTTTATAAAGTTTGTTGTGATGAGAATGGTGATGGCAAAGAAGACGTGCTAAATTCTCCTAATTTGAACGATTTCCTTTGTAATGTGTGGTGCAAATGGTAAATGTACATGTTGTGATTTCACGTCTTGGGGTCTCCACAACTGTTAACAAAATTTGTGCAGTCTAAAAGAAAAGTGGGGTCTTGGACAATCAGCACAAATTTCTTACGTGGCAAGTATTTCAGACTTAATGGATTTTCGCAAATTTAATCGTCCCCCTGCATCAGTGCTTCAAAACTTTGCCATTACCGAGGTGTATGTGAAAAGAGCAAGAAAGTGTTTAGCAAAGGACATGAGATCAAATTGGACAACCGAATTAGACATAGAGACCCTGGAATCGCGTAGAAGTTGGGCAACCCTTTCCGAAGTACAATCTGTAATTCCATTTCATGAGGAACGTTATAAATCTGTATTAGAAAATTGTGTTGTATCTCCTTTGTGTGGTCATTTGTAAGTTAATTGTTTACTACATATGATAATTAGGTGTTATTGTAATTAGTATATAATGCATGGTTGAACATGTAGTTTTAGTTCTTAAAATAATAATATATCGAGGACTTTACATGGTGTCAGGTGTTTGGGGAAGTGAAATAATCGGAAAAGAGAAAAACCCGGCCGATAACATATTTTCGAATGGCGACAGCACAGATCCCTTTGCCTGAAAAGTTAGATTAAAAAAAGCCAGAAGATTGGAAGCGATGGATAGAACGCTTTGAATGCTATTGCATTGCAGCGGGACTTGACGACAAAGACGACAAAGTCCAGATAAACACTTTGGTTTATGCAATGGGTGGAAATGCCAACGATATCTTGAAAAGCTTTCATCTCAGCGAAAAAGACTATGTCTACGAGACAGTTGTTCAACAATTCGCATCGCATTTTGTGGGACGGTCAAATGTTATATTCGAACGAGCTCGCTTTAATAAACGTGTACAAGGCGAGAAGGAGTCGGTGATCGATTTTATCGAAGTGCTATACGAATTAGCAGAGACATGCCAGTTTGGAGATCTAAAGAATGAACTTATACGAGATCGTATTGTGGTTGGTATTCGAAATGCAAGTCTATCACAAAAGCTGATGCAAGACGAGAAATTGACTTTGGATAAAGCTGTAAAAGAAGCCAAATATCCGAATATAAAGCTGTAAAAGAAGCCGAATATCCTTCAGGGAGATGGCGAAGATGGAAAAATTAATCGCCTCCGCAAGACTAAGGGACGAAATAAACCAAAATCGCCAGAGAACTCGAAAGGAGAGCAAATTTTGAAACCGTATCAAGCCGGTAAAAGTCAATGTTATCGATGTGGGAAATCGCCAGTGCACAAAAGAGATGCTTGCCCTGCTATTAATGCGACATGTTTAAAATGCAAAAAGCAAGGACACTTTGCTGCAGTTTGTAGAAGCAAGAAAGTTCGCTCAGTTACCGAAGAAACCGACCCGAAGTGCTCATATTCCGAAGATTACTTCCTTGGTGAGATTAGCGACCATGAAAGTAAAGAAGATTGGTCCTTGGTGAGATTAGCGACCATGAAAGTAAAGAAGATTGGTCGGTAAACTTATCGCTAGGAAGGACAAAAGTACGATTCAAGATTGACACTGGGGCCGACGTAACGGTAATACCTGAAGCTGATTATTTGCGAAGTGGACTTCCACAACTTAGGTCAACATCCAAAACTTTGTTTGGACCTGGTCAAGAGAAACTGCCCGTTAAAGGAGTTGTCAAAGGCGTATTGAAAACTTCAAGTTTGAAAGAAACACTGCAAGATATTTATGTTATTGGGAATCTTAAAGAGCCTTTGCTTGGAAGACCTGCTATTGATGCCCTAAACCTCGTGCAGAAAGTAGAAACTATTCAAGCTGACGAGAGCAGTGTGATCGAAGACGAAGTTAAATCCACTTATCCAAATTTGTTCAAAGGCCTAGGAGAGTTGGATGGTGATTTCAGTATTAAATTGAAACCTGACTCAACACCCTTCGCTCTGACGACGCCAAGAAGAGTAGCAATCCCGCTCTTGAACAAAGTCAAGGCAGAATTGGAGAGAATGAAAAATTTGGGCGTTATCTCGAAAGTCGATGTACCCACCGAGTGGTGTGCAGGGATGGTCGTTGTACCCAAACCAGATGGCAATATTCGAATATGTGTCGACCTAACGAAACTCAACGAGAATGTTCTTCGCGAGACTTACCCTCTTCCAAAGATAGATAACCTATTAGCACAGATCAGCGAATCCAAAATCTTCACTAAATTGGATTGCAATTCAGGATTTTGGCAGGAAAAGCTAGACGAACAATCTCGGTTATTAACCACGTTTATCACGCCGTTTGGCAGGTTCTGTTTCAATCGAATGCCTTTTGGTATCAAGACGGCACCTGAGCATTATCAGAAGAAGATGAATGAAATTTTGGAAGGCCTGGATGGTCAAGTATGCATAATTGATGACATATTGATCCATGGGAAGACCCAGAAAGAACATGACACTAGACTTAGAGCAGTGCTGAAGAAACTAGATGAATCTGGAGCTACACTTAATCCAGAGAAATGCGAGTTTTCAAAGAAAGAAGTCAAGTTTGCTGGTTGTATCCTTAACGAAGAAGGAATCAAGTCTGATCCCGATAAAATAGAGTCGATTCGAGACATGGATGCACCTCAGAATGTGGGCGATGTACGTAGATTCCTTGGAATGGTCAACCAACTTGGGAAGTTTATTAACCACTTAGCAGAGAAAACGAAGCCAATTAGAGACCTCCTTAGTAAAGACAATCAGTTTCTATGGGGACCAGCTCAACAAGAAGCCTTTGGGAAGTTGAAAGTCGAATTAAGTTCCACACCAGTACTTGCGTATTATGATCCTTCCAAGAAAACCATTTTGTCAGCAGATGCCTCCTCTTATGGTCTTGGGGCTGTCCTTCTACAAGAACAAGAGAACGGTGAAAGAAAGCCAATTGCATACACATCCAGATCTATGACTAGCACCGAACAGTGCTACGCTCAGATTGAAAAAGAAGCTTTGGCAACAACTTGGGCGTGCGAGAAATTCAACGATTATATTCTTGGGAAAGATATCCTCATTGAGACAGATCACAAACCACTTGTTCCTTTATTTGGCACAAAGC